GGTTTTTGAAGGCAGTACAGAGGGGGAAGATGGTATGGATGTTGCACGTTGTGGCTTGTGATTTAAATAAAAGGAATTCAGATTGCAGGTCAGAAATAATCTGCTAGAATTAAGATTCTTTAACACAAGATGGTCTTTGGCCAGTTAAAGCTTATCTAGGTGGATAATCGCCACCTAGATGAATCGGGAAATAATTAAGTGTAATGTAGAGCATGAGACTTGAAGCATCCTTGAAGTGGCTGGCACATTTAATTAGGGTAATTAATCTTTGCTATGAAATTGATATATCAGTCCTTTTTGTTTTCTGAAACTGGGTTGTGCACAGCTGTTGGATAGACAGTAATGACAAAGTACTCTTTGTGAGATAATCTAACTCACAAAGTTGTATTTGAAATTATCTCCTAGCTCTGTCATCTTTTTTAATTTTTTGTTAGACTGTTGTTTACAGTATTGGGAAACCCTAAAATTTAAAGTAAGTGCCTTAATTACATTTATATGATAAGCAGAACTTGCTTGAGTTCTATCAGTTCTCCAGCTGAGATGAGAAAGGTTATGATGTATTTGTCGTAAGGAGGATAACGACTCATGGAAATAAACTGCAGTGCTGTTTCCTTCATGGGAAGTGGGAAAGAAAATTCCTTTACTCATTGCAGAAGAGCTTTCCAGAGGTCTAGATATCTCTTCCATATAACTCCTCAGAGGGTGGTGAGGCATGGGCCCAGGCTACCCAGAAAAGCTGTGGGTGCTCTGTCCCTGGAGGTGCTCAAGGCCAGGTTTGATGGGGCTTGGGGCAGCCCTACCCATGCCAGTGAGTTGGACCTGTACGTGCTGGTGATCTTGGAAGTCCTTTCAAGCCAAGATATTGAATCATTTGATGAAAACAAAAGTAGAAGGGCTTGGAAGTTGTAGAAGAAGCATAACTGTAGTGTAAATGAGTTTAAGAACTACTTCAGCCTTAATTATCTCCTGTGGAAAGTTGTAGCTTAAATATAAAAGAGCTGAAAAGAAAACAGGCTTGATCATCAGAACAAATTGCTTCAATTAAAGTTACAGTGATTGTCTTGAGCTGTTTTTCTTTTGTGTGCATGGTTCTGCAGAGTGGACTCAGCTGAGTGCTTAATAAGCTAATTAAATTTGTCACAGGATTTTGGCACTAGGGCTAGTGTAACATTGGCTTTCAGAACTTTCTGCAGTGGTTCTCTATAAATTGTCTATTTTTTGTTGCTGTTTGTTTAAAACTTAATAAGCACAGGGAAGTTTTTTCTGAATAAACATACTCTTTTATTAAAATAAGCAAAATAGAATGAAAAAATGCTTGCTTACCGTGGTGAACAGGTAGCTTAGCATCGTGCAGTCCTTCACTCACTCTCTCCCTGTCTCCCAATGGGATGGGGAAGAGATTAGCGAAAACAAAACAAAACAAAACCCAGGGTAGCCAAGGTAGAGATATTGTGACATTGCAGGACCTGAAACAAAACAGAGACAAAGCATTAATGTTCCTGAAGTGATTAGTAAAGTGATGCAAGTTGTTGCATTTTCAGCGCCTTCGCTGCTGTATGTTGAGCATCTCGGCTTTTCTCATTAACTTTTATATGTTTTCTAATGACAACGAAACAACCCAAGTGGTAGATTTCTGAAAGAAAACTGTATTTCATGGATAGTTAAAGTTGCTGTTCATCAGCTGTGTGGTTTAAGACCCTTGGACTGTTTTACATTTACGATGTGGTGTGTTGTGTCAGTGATTCATTATTTGTTTCATGTTGACTGTCAGGGGTGTCATATGTGATCCCTGCAAAATCCCTGTAGTATTAACAGTTTTGAGAGACTTGGGTTGAAAAACAAAAACAAGACTGATTTATGTCTTATCTTGTATTGCATCCTCCCTGCTGATGCTTTTGTGGTTCCTCTCCTCCTTTGCTATTCTTTATTCTTCAAGGAGCTAATGCATGGTAAGATTTATTTTATGGAGGAAAGCACAATCTCTTTGAAGAATCTAGTCAATTGTTCACAGTAACAGCCACTTGATGATTTGTCTTTTATCTGTTCAAATAAATTCTGTAAAATAGAGCAAAGTTTTCCGTAATATGAATTGGTTTTCTGATTCTTATTACTGCCTTGGGTAGTAGAGCAGCAGTAGTGCTTTTCCTTTGAAAGCTGCTTGCACAGATGTTATTGCAAACTCATGTAATGTATAAATGTTGAGACTTGTGTGCTGGTAGCTGCTGAAGTTGAGCAGTGCCATGGAGCGTATCAGGAAGGAAGATCTTGTTTCAAAGTAGCTGTGTTGTTCATATAGGACTCCTTTTCTCACCTGGCTACAAAAATTAATATCTGAAGAATTATATTATCATAAGCATTAAATCTTGGGGAAGAAAGAGTTGATTTATAATGCAACATACCTACAACAAAACCTGAATGCACAGAATAAGCTGCCTGATATTGAAACTCATTAAAGCTTTTATATTGGCAGAAAATCTGCCGCTGGTTAAAACAAGATTGAACTGTTCTATAATGTTTCTTGAAATATACCTCAATTAAAACTTATCAGATAATAGTGCAAGCTTTAATGGCTGCATCCCTTTCTGATTATGTGTTGCTGACCACACTACTGTAGATGTTGAGAGAAGGATCCAGTATTTTCAGAAGACAAAGACAAATTGGGAGAAATGCTGAAGTCTTCTAGTGGAATTTTTGTTGGGCTTGTAGCCCTGTGTTAGATTCTGATCCAAATTTTGGCAAAAGACATCAGCAGAGCAGATAAAGCTGTGCTTTTGTAGCCTGGCATTATGCCATTTGATAATGGCTGATTTTGAATTTTCCTGAAAAACACATTTAAGCACAGTAATTTAGTGAAATCTCCTGTAACCTGGATAGGCAGATCCACTTCATTTGGAGCCAGTGTTTTAACTGCTAAGTTCAAGTTGCACAGTGTCTTTTAAGTTGTATCCTTCTGCCTCACTGTATCCCCATCCTTTCTTCTATTCATTGTGTTACTCTCATAATGTTTTCATAGAAGATCTTAGCTCAGCAAATAATAAATAGCAAGGAAATTGTGAAATCTAAATTGTTATGAGAAAACCAGGGGAAAACCTAGTAATGATTTTCTTGACAACTTTAAATATTCATTAAACAGACATTGAAGTGGAACCTTTGTGGTTGGAACAGAAGCACATACTTGAAACATTTTTAGCTGCTTGTGACCATTTCGTATCCATTTGACAAGAGTCTAGAGTGCAACTTTAAAATTCTGGGCAAGTGGTGGTGGGGGGAGAATCACCTCCTGGAAAACTTGTATGTGATCTTGGAGGGCAGTGTTTGACATATACACAGGTTGTTGTAAACGTTCTAACATTATTTCTAAGTAAATGAAAGGAAACCAGATAGTTTCACCATTTCTGAAGTAATGTGGGTTTACTGCATTATTTTTGTGTGTTTTTTGAGCTGGTGTTGTGTGTGTATGTGTGTGTGTATATATATATATACACTTTTAAGCTGAGCACATTGCACAGTCCTCATCTTCATGTTTTTGAGAGGCAATTAGAGGATTTGTAATATCCTAGGGGTTTGATCACAACTTCTGCTCATGACATTTTATAATGAGTGTATAGTTTATAAATAACATTTTGAAGGTATAAGGTTATGCAGAGATAATTGCACAGCTGAAATGCACTGGCACAAGGCCAAAGGCTAAGCACTTTCCACCATCTCTTCTAAATTGAATAACTTCAGTTTATGAAGTGTATCATCAGAAAACATTTTCATTACTCCCAGAGGGCAAGTTAAGGTTAATAAAAATCCAATTCCAGATTACCCATATGTGTGAATATTTGTATTTTTAGAACCTCGCCTTGTCAATTGTTTCTCACGAAGTGTACATAGAGAATACAGGGATGTGGGTGGTTGTTTCAGTTCATGTGTTCGTACTATTCAGAATAATTTTACCTCTCTGAGACACAATTTCTCTAAGCACAGTTATGAGACTCGTCAAGATTTTTCAAACTGAGAAAAACTAAACTACGCTACTTCTGTTAAGCTGTTGTTTCTCACAGCCACTGAATTCCACCATGTTAGTTAACCCACAGGCAGCCATTTGATCCATCTGTTTCAGTCCACAATAGCAGGCTTTGTACACTCTCTTCTCTAAATGTTAAATAGTATGTATGTTAAATAGTATGGCAGCCCAGTATTCTGTATACTCTTAGGCAGTCTGAGAAACAGAATGATCCAGTCACAGGATGGCTGAGGCTGGCACGCACCTCTGTGTCCATCAGCCTCTGCCCCAGCAGGACACCCAGAACAGCAGGGTGCCAGGCCCATGGCCAAGCGCCTCTTGGAGATCTCCAAGGAAGGAAACTCCGCAGTCTCTGGACAGCCTGTGTGATGCTCTGTCACCTGCACAAGCACAGAAGTGCTGCCTGGCATTCAGAGGGAAAAAGTTTGTTCTGGTTGCCTCTAGTGTTGTTACTGCATACTCTGGAAAAACAAAACCAGCAAAAAACAAATCAAACCAAGTCTTTGGTAATGGTGATTTAGGAGGGAAGGTGGTTTAGGAGGAGGTGATTTGTTAATCTTCTCCCTCTGTTAAGTTACTTATGTCTGTCATCTGAGACAACACGTGTGCTGGGGTCACCAGTTCTAGTTCTCTGCTTTTACAGTTTTATATAGCCTTGCTGTGAGTGCTGTCTTCTCTTTGCTGCCCCGTACCCTCTTCCTCTCAAAAAAAGGAGCTCCACTGTCTTAACAAGACAGCTTTCTCTGCTGCTTGGTATAAGAAAGAAAATTGAATATAAAGAATAGTATAAGGAAAAGTACAATAAAGGGCCTAGTAAACAGAGAGAATGAAGTATTAGGAAAACTAAAGGCAAATAGTAATTGGAAAAGGTTGGCAGAAAACTGAGTGATGTTACTACTTATAAATCTACAAATCCTGTTATGTGATTGTTGGTCTGTTCTTTTTCTTTGCTGGACATTAACAGTGTTTAAACAATTTTTCTTTAAAGGTCATCGACATGCCAGAGCACAATCCTGGAGATATGGGTGGAACAATGAGACTAGGGAAGAGGAGGACCGTTTTCAAAACACGAAATTCTATTTTAAGTAAGTTACGCTTGTGTTCTTTCACTTGCCTTTTGTATAGGGTGATAAAGGATTTTATTAAAGAATTACAACCTGAAGCAAGCAGCTTCCTTGATGTTATTCACTCTGATCATGTTTCTGTGAAATGAGAAAATCTGAAGTCTCATTGAAAAGCTGAATTAGAACCCAGTGCTTTACACTGCTTGAAATAATCAATAATGTTTAGATCTGTTATTAGCCCATTTGGGACTCTATTATACAACATTAATACAGGTGATACTAAAACCATGTAAAATAGAATTTCTTGTTTCTAAATAAATATGAGTATATTTTCTGTATTGCCGTGCCCCAATATTACCGTATTTAGTGATATTGAACCTACAGGAACTATCCTTCTGAGTTTTTAGAAGTTATATCTATTTCAGCAGGAGATCACACTGCAGTATGCATGTACATTTAATGAAAAAATCTGATGTTAATATTTAGTATTTGCAGTATTATCACTCTTCACAATCTTAGAGATAATTTTTGGCAGCTCTGTTCTTGTACCAACACCTTAAATGAGGCATTACTCCTAATGATGCTAACATAAAGCAGAGTTTGGGCTGTCGCTGTGAGAGAAGTAATTAAATTCTGGTTTACTGCATACCATGAACTTGTTTCTTGTTGGTTTGTGATGTAGAGGATTCAAGAGAGCTGCAAGAGTCATTTGCTAAGAAGATCAGAAACCAGAGACAAAAGCGATGTTCTGTTTGTCAGTAGGAGCATGCCATTTGCTGAGTATAATCCGTAAGATGGAATGCTGGCAAAAGGCTGTGGAACTTCATTGCACATTTTGCATATGATTGTTATAAAACCAGCAGGGATTTCATGTTACTTTTTCACTCAAATGTCTGTTTTCATTATTATTTAGACATCTACAATTTAAACTCTGAAGCTTATAAACTGTTTCTAGTTGAGGAATACTCAGTATGAATCCTGAACAAACTTAGGTAGAAACTAAAATGATTCCAAAAAAAACCAGAATGCTTGAGTGAGATGAAGTGTCTTGTTACAAAGTTTTCCACATGAAAAACTTCTGAGTTTTAAATTATTAGCTATATTTATAATTAGTTAAAGCAATGTGTTAGTATTAGTTTTTCTTTTTGTATTTTCAGGGAAACTTTATGGTGATGAAATGTTTGTGGAGGAACGACACAGGCATCGATATGAGGTAAGCACTGCTAATGGACTTTGTGCTCAAAACTTAAAGCTTAAACAAACTATTTCACTCGGTAGACATGACTCTTATTAAAGCCAGTGGGAGATTTCTTACATAACCATAGAACAAGACTTACTAATGTTTAGATAGTCGTTTATATTGTGAGGAACATTCATGCTTTGGTTCACCTATGTAGGTGCTTGGAGCTGAGCTAGCTTTGAAATTAGATCAGACTTCTCAAGGTTTTGTCCTGTCTTGCTGAGAAATTCTTTTGAGAGAGAGATTGCTCAATATCTTTGGACAATTTGTTCCAATGCTTAACAATTGATTGCAAGCTATGTTTCCTTTTATATTTACCAGAAATTCCTTGTTTGTTTGCGTCTTTAATGTCTCACTCTTCTGCTTTGCACCTCCAAGCAAAGTCTGGCTACATCTCGTTTATACCATCCCATTAGATAGCTGAAGTCAGCAACCACCTCCACACTTCACCTTCTCTTTTCCACGTTGAACAAACCTAGCTCCTTCAGTCTCTTCTGCATTATATGTGCTTCAGTCCCCTAAATGTCCCAGTGGACATCCTATAGACTTCACAGTATTTTGTTAATATGTCTTTCTTGTGCTGTGGGGCCTGAAACTGGACACGGTTTTGCAGAGGTGTTATTACAAGTTTTAAAGAAAGGGGAATAGCGTAATGACAAGGTTGTTTCTTAGACTATTTTTTAACCACTACCTGACTTGACTTCCTATGAGATATTTGAAAGGCGTAGGTTTATAATCTTTAAGTGTATTGCTCCTGGGCTGACTGGGTTTAGATTATGCTCAGAAAGTCCACATTCTGCTATAATCTAAATATAGGCAGACTTCAGGCATCTGTAACTTAGATGCTAATCCAGATCACTTGCTTCCAAGCAGTTATCCCAATTCTACTGGCCTCTGGTATAGGTCCTCTTCAGTGAGAACATCTGAGGAAAGGCATCTCTATATATTCAAAATGCTATTGTCTAGGGAAACTGTCAGTAGTTGGGAATGCTGTGTTAGTTCAGAAATGGTTCAGAAGGCATTTGAAGGTATCTCTAAAGGGGCCTAAACTGTGAGATGTATGCATGGTAAAATCTGGTTCAAACAATGCTAAGTTTCCTTTAAGCTGGGAAAAGAGTGCAATGGTGGTAAGGGTGTTCAGTTTGAATATTAATGGAGTAAGTAGAACATTACCAAGGAGATGAAACATTTCATTCTAGAGCTCCTGTCTGGGTGATTTTTGACAGCTTATGCCATAGACAGTTGAACTGAACAGCCTTCCACTTGCTATAGTTGGCCATTTCAAAAATGAGGAACGCATGCTCTTCAGGATCAGGAGGATAGTGAGCAAAAGGGACCCTGTCTTTAATCTTTTGTTTTTATTTATTGTTAAGTTTTTAAGTTATTGACTCATCTCATGTTAATGTAAGCATGCCTATTTTTTGAAAGCTACTACCCGAGTATCAACAAAGAAAGCAAAAATTCTCAGCTCTTTTTCCAAATATTTTTGTTCTTGCATACATAATAAAAGCATTACAGTTATATCAAAAAGTTGCATCAAAAAATAAATAAAACTACAACTGTTTTCAATATTTCAGGTGAACCCAGAATTAACTCACTGCTTTGAAGAGAAAGGTTTGAAATTTGTTGGCCATGATACAGAAGGAAACAGAATGGAAATGATTGAACTGGAGAGTAAGTGTCTCACTTGTCTGTAGTACTTTCTGTATCTGTTAAAACTACATAAGCTATAGGTAAGTAAATGGCAAGTAAGTCAGTACTTACCTGTTGAAACAGCCAGGATCATGTTAGGAGTTACTGTTGAGTCCACTTGTGTATAACAATAAATTAAGATTCAGTGGCTTTCAAGAGCCACTGTCTTATGTTTCTCCTCAGGGATTCTGCATGAATTAGGTTATCAGAGAGATACATACAGTTTCTGCAAAATACTGTAATTCTAGCTCAGTGCTACATGGAATCACAGAATGGTTTGGGAAGTTGTCTATTCCAACCCTCTGTTCAAAACAGCTACCTTTGATCAGGTTGCTGAGAGCCATATCCAGTCAAATTTTTCATTGTCTCCAAATATGCAACTGGTTGGACTTCTTCTTGCCACTGTTCTTTGAACCCAGCAATCTAGCCATTTTTTAGACATTTTGTAGTTTACCCATTCCTTCCATAGCTTCCAATTTGGTTGCTAGGAAACCATGTTAAAAGTCTTGCTAAAGTCAGGGTAAAGGAAAGCTACAGCTCTTCTCTCATTCAGAGACTGATTATTTTTAATTCCTTTCCTATCCTTTGTGTCTGAAAATGGATTGGAGTAGCTTTTATTTTGTAATCTTGCTGTTTGCCAAGTTGAAGTTGACTGTACTGTTCCTTAGGTTAATGATTCTTGAAGATGAGATTCTTTTTCTGGCCATCAGGGACCTCCCCTGATCATGTTGGCCTTTTAAAGGTGAAAAACAGCTTTGTGATTACATTGGCCTTAAGTACCCTCAGATATTCTCAGTCATGTTTCAATAACTGGTTTATTTTATCTGAGTTATATACATGCAGTATAACCAAGCTAAGAAACATCTCTGTATAAATCCCCATCTTTGCAAACAGAGACCTTCTAAATTTGACTAAGTGAAGTAGTCAGTAGCCTGACTTAATTTTCAAGTTGACCCTGCTTTGAGTAGGAGATAGGACTAGAAACTGAAGTACCTTCCAAACTCAATGTGTGTCTCCTTCAGTTACCCCCATTTAGAATCAGAAAAAAAAATGGAGTATGAAAATCATACAGAAAGCAAACTCCTGTCTTTCGCAGAAGTAATTCATATAAATAAAAAGGCTTAATTCTGTGAAAATCTGATAGGATTGGACTACTACACCAAGTATGGCTAGATGCTTTTTCGAAAAGATCTCTCAAAATGATGAGAAAGTATGCTGCTTTTTTTTATTGTTAAATGTTTACATAGTTCTGCTCATAGAGACAGCTTCTTAGCTTTTGCTTGAATCTTTGAGTAATTCCTCACTGTTAAGACACCATTGGCTAGGTGAGTATCAAACTCCTGACCATGAGGGCTACTTGACAAGCTTTTTTTTAAGTGACCTCAAATGCCGTTGATTTAGATAAGCTTGCACAGAAACTTATCATAAAACTACACTATCATTCTACAGAGTGCTATTTCTGAAAAGATGTTTCTGAGAATTCTTTTTATACTCCATAGTATGCTGAAGAACATTCTTGTCATTTTGAACCAGGGTTTGAGTATAGACATCTATTTGAAATATCAAGCAACGGTACATAGAGAGTAAACTCAGAGCAAAAAGTACATATGAATTCATTAACTGTTAACTGTCATGGCAGATTAATTTTCTTATGCAAGCTGAGACTGTTTGGGAGACTATTTTATCTGTCCGCATAAAACAACTTTTATAAAGAGCATCATTAGATAAATCAGGCAGGATTTTTTAAATTACATGTTACTGTAAAAAGAATGAAAGCAGCAGTGAAACCTGGAATTATTTCACAACGGGCTGCAAGGAGGCTGATTACTGAAGTCATCATAGAGAGGAGGGTGGGTTGAAGCGGAAGCACAGAAATAACAGCATACTAGATAGCTGAGGCAAAGCTTTTAGGAAAACATCCCCGCAGGAAATATTTGATGCTTTGTCTTATTTTGTTGCTTTAAAGAATTAAATTTCATAGCAGAGAGAGAGAAATTTTAGGATAAATTTAGGATCTCAGATTCTTTTTATGGCATAGCAACAGAACAAAGAGCAGTATACTTGCTTATATTGTTTATCTTCAGAGAATAAAAACCCCTACTTTCTTGTTATCACTTATTCCATATGGCAGAGAAATTCCTTGAATGTTTGGGATTGTTTTGGAAATTGACCAATCAGAAAAGATCTGTACTTACTTTCATCTTGTGTCCTGGTAGTAGGAATGGTTAACATTAGGCTCCTTTAAACTGATATTTAGAGAAGGAACAGGTGCACGGTATGAAAGAGCACAAAAATATTGTTCCATCCTTATCCTTCCAAGAAAGATAGGGGTGCAGAAGCAGTATTCATGAGTTGCTTTGACTGGAGAAGCAGCTAAAGATTGAAGAGAAGACTACTGATTAGAGTAATAAATGACACTAAATGCTAATGATATTCTCATCCTTCATCACAGAACATACAGTGGGAAAGCAGTGCACTCTAGGAAATGGATGCAATTTGTCTGTAAAAAAGATGGCTTCTGAATTAGGAAGAGGTTTCTAAGCAAAAGGAGAGACTATCCTAACACCTTTCCTGTGGGAGCAAAAAATCCTGGGGGTTGTTACAAGGACTTCTGGCCTTTGTGTGTGAGACTACATGATGCAGCTTTATTCAATAGCAGGAAACAGTGTTATTGATCCAGCAGTTCCCTTCCAGGCCAAATTGTTTGAAACTTGTTTTCCCCAATTTTCGGTGTAAATAGCTTCCGTGTTCATCTCTTAGTATGTAAACAGTTGCTGTATTGTAGTGCCTAGTCTTTTACAAACTTTTTCGTTTTCCTCTTAGATGCACGTAGGTGCACGTTCTGAATATGCATGCATAAATATAAATTTTGGATACCAGAACAGTAGGAAAAAAGCTTGGGAAATGGTTAAATTATGGTTGCCTACATAGCATTGTTTTCTCCTGTACGTCTGCAGATATTTATAATCCAGCTTTTAATTACATTGTTGGGCACATTAAGGTTGAATCGGGATGATTTTTCATTGATTTGCTTTACTAATCTTTTGCCACCATTGTCAGTTGCTTTCCATGGAAAAAAAGAAGTTATCATCCTTAAATTTACACATGCTGATCTGATTTCTTGACTCTTATGTGGTATCTTCAAGAAATTTTTATTCCAGCAGTTGTTCTAGTATCCTCTTCTTGGATCTTTTAATTTTCTCTATGACATCTGTCTTGTAGATCATCCATATTTTGTGGGAGTTCAATTCCACCCAGAGTTTTCCTCAAGACCTATGAAACCTTCACCTCCATACCTTGGGCTGTTGCTTGCAGCAACTGGAACACTTAACGCATACTTGCAGCGTGGATGTAAATTGTCTCCAAGGTAATCTTTCTTATTCATTTGCCTGCAGTTTCAATCATGTTATTGGAGGGAGGAGTATTCTGTCCATCAGCTCAGAAGACCAGGAAAGAAAAATGATTTCTTCATATATTGATATATTTATTCCTGTGTATGCTCAGCATAAACTCTGGTGTAAATGTGTCTGTAAACAGCTTATTCCTTCCCTTCTTCATGTACAGAGGTTCTGAGGGTTTGATCCCTGTTACAACCAGAAGGAAGTAAAAAACCTTTAGTAAAGCAAAGTGAAGTTAATTTTGGTTTCTGGCCTACTCTGTTAATTTACAATGAAATGAAATTCTTACCCAATTATGTTTTCATGGCTGCAGAAATAAAAAAGAAAGCTATGCCCAGAGAAAGTGAGCACTGGAAAAGGGAAACACTTTAAGGCTAAAATAGAAGCATTTGCATAGGAAGAACTTTCAGGAGGGAATTTCATTGCTCATTACAGCGCAACCACTCTCCACCTGCTGAGTGGAAAGGATTTCTAATTTAAACTGTTAGGCCTCAGAATAGTAATGATGTCATTGAACATTAAACCTAAGACATGTCATAACAAGACTTTGAATCAAATTTGAGGAGATGATTTTCTGCGCACCTCACCCTATACTGACTACGTGAGTTGTAGTTATGCTGTTGACTGCCACAAACAAACAAAAAAGTGTCCACCAAAAAAGCTCACACAGAACATCACAGACAGTTTTGAACTAGTCACTCCAAGTCATTTTGTACAGAGAATATGCTCTGTTAAATAGTCAAGTAGCTTATACTAATAGTTGAGTGCTTTAGAGGCGTTATACCCTAGAAGTACTTGTTTCCATTGGCTGGTAAGAAGCTGGTGATATCAAGCTTAGATGAAGATGTCTTGATGCTGTGTGAATGGAATCCTGTGCATGAGATTCAGCTGACAGTGGGAACTTTTATCCGACCAGATACGTTCTGGCCTCTTGGTTGTAGGTTTCGTTATTTTGTGTCCTAATGAAAACCTTATCCCAGGCCCAGTTATGTGAGTGCAGAAGTCTGGCATGTTGGAAGTGAGGAGACTTGGTATATGATGAAGGGATTCTTTAATTGAGTTGTGTTTTATGGAAGCATAGAATCAAATGCTGATGGTGGATAGTACTGTTCTATAGAGACAAAAGCTTGAAAATACGCACTGAGGAATAGAGGTGACTGCAATTGTAACTATTGCACAGAGTTTTAATAGCTGTGATTTTAATCATTCAGATTTTTGTGTGTGTAAGGTAAATAATAATAATTGATAGATTTGTTTTTACTAGGTTCTAGAAAGCTTATAACAATTATTTCTTTCAAACATCCACAGCCTATACTAAATGTAATTACATTTATCTTTGATTTGCATTGATGAAGAAATGCACTTAACTTAGCTCCTGCCTTTACTTGGGATAGCATTGCTGTAACAGATGTTTAAATTGCTAACACTCCTGGAAAAGGATGTTTTGGTCAATTATATATTAAAAAAAAAAAAAAAAAAGAAAAATGCTTCTCTGAAACTGTGTTAACTACTTAGTTTTCAAAGGAGTTTGAAAGATTTTCCAAGTGAAACAAATAAAACTTACAAGGAGCACCCATTTTTACGGTTCTCCGTGTTTTGTGACAAAAACATGGAAAGCAGGCAGTTTGGAGCTTATGATTATTGAGATTATTGAGAAATACAGATTTAAAGTTACTCGTGAGTGTTTGTTCTTGTCGTTTTGCAGCTGAGATTGGTTGCTGAGGTGAAGCATTGTAGCACTCCATAGATAGCTCTTGTGCCCTTAAAAACTTTTAGCTGCCTCTCATATCATACTGGATCTTTTATCTTGTCTCCTTCCGTGCATTAGACTGCATAGTAAATGTGATGAAACTTCTGTCAGTAGTAGTTGACTAGATGTAGTGATGCTGTGTGTACTCAATGTTTTGTTCTGATTTTCTCCTGGTCTGAAGTATAAATATAAGGCCCTGTGAGGCCAGGCTTATTTATTTTTCTCCTCACCATTTCATAGCCAGCTCATTTAGGTAAGGTTTATACATCACACATAATAGTAGTAGATTTTTGTGTTTAATATCTGTGTAGCAACTTGGTGTAATCTGAAAAGAAGCACATGTTTCTTCTTGAGAGGTAGTGATTGGAGTTTTTCTTCAGATTATTTATCAGCTGAATATGGTTTATATCACAGTAAATCTTTTGAACTTGATGTATCATTATTGGTTTGAAGATATAGTTCACAGGCCTGGATATGCCAAGATTCACATGTGCCTGTTTGCAGCTCATCTCTTGAGGTGGTTCAGGTTTTATGGGAGCCTAAATTGTTCTTGTTAACACAATGCCACAACTGTCTGTGGATGCTTAGATAAATGATTCAAACAGCAAAAACTGAGAATGACAGTTATTGAGTCTGTAACCCAAGGGCTGACCATTACCTCAGTATTTGCATTATCTTTCTTGCCACTGTAGTCTGCCTGTGAGAAATAAAACTGACTTGCACCCAGCAGGGCTCTAAATTAGGAGAGAGTTCGGGGTGCTACTGCAAAATAGTCAAGAACATAGTGACCAGAGCCCTTCATTGGGCTGTGGAATCAAATGTTTACTGTACCATCTTTCTCCTGGGGATGAACTTGGGCTCTTCTCTATTCACCTTACTGGTGCTGAAACATTTTTAGATGTTTCCAGGAGACAATCCATAGATTTCCAGGGGCCTTGTAAAGATGTTTGAAGCTCTGGCACGTGTTTTTGTTATGCCACTAGACAGCAGAGCCAACAAAAGAAAAACGTAATGGAGCTCTTCTCTGAAGATTTTGGGTTTAATCCAAAGTTATCATGAAACTGCATGCCTCTGCAATCAGCAATTTTACTCTGTGTTCTGTAGACAATTTTTGCTATTTTGCTTTGATGTGAAAATATAATCATGTTTAATAATACTGAATTTTTATTCCATGTGTTTCCATGGGTACTTTCAGAAAGAAGTAAGTACAGTGTCAGTGATGTTGTGTTTGTGTGTGTGCATCTGGCATGCTTGATCATACTGTTAACAGCACTTTCCTCACTTGAACTGTGTAATTGTTTGCCAGCTGGTGGAGTGATCAAATCAAGCATTTGTAGTTAGTCTGATATGACACACTCTTTACAAGAGTTACATCAACAATGTGAATGTCTTGCAAAGAAAGGGCAGAATGCTGTAGGTAAAGTCTTAATACTTGTTTGAGTAGTTGGAATACCAACCTTGTCTTTTATGAAAGTTGCTACAGTGATTTGCTGTAACTGTGGGGGCTTTCCAAGCAGTCAGAGGTAGAAATTCAATGAGATGGCAGTTGGTTCCATTTCTCTTGTTGCACTCTGTTAAAATGGCTGACATTATCTTTGATTGTGTTTTTGCAAAATGGAGAGAGTGAACTTCAGGCTAGAAAGCAGTACTCATCATGTACCAGTATGAATGAGTGCAGTTCCTTTACCATTCCTCATTATAGTTTACATCAAAGATCTCTAACTATGGCATTACATCGTTCCCCTTGAAACACTGCAGTTACTGAAGATCAACTGATAAGCTGTGTCTCGGTAGGTCATAGGCTGCTAATGTGCTTGATGGCCCAGCAGGAGATCCCGACCTGAGCTGGGGGTTACATGACTGAGGTCCTGCTGGCTGAGAGAGAAAATTGTATGATAAGAGCACGATGCGGCAAGGCAGTTGTGCAGTGGTTGGAATGGATGTGCTACCCAGTGCTGGTACTGGTGCTCCCACACGAATGAGGTTAGAGATCTCCACCTGTATTCTGTTAACCATATGCTACTCTCTGCAGTATCAGAGAACTGGCCAGCACTATTACTGTACTCATTAGTTCTCTGGGCTCCCTTTGCTGAATTCTAATCTTGGGAAAGTCATATATGTGGAAAGCAAACTGTAGAGGTGAAGCATGGTGTGGGGGGAAGCTAAGTCTGGAGTATTTTGTGGAGAGGTGCATTTTGTGCAGAGTTAAGATAAACGCTGAGACTTGATAGGTATCACTGAATAGATTCTACAAGATCCTGTCCAGCTGGCTACGAATGTGGTTTATGGGCACTTCTTTCTTTCAGTCATTGTGGTGATTCCTGTCCTTCACTGTTTCCTTGTTCTAGCCACTTATAAAATGATCACTTGCATGGGCAGCTTGTTCTGTTTAAAAAAACAAAAAGGTAAAAAAATAAAAATAAAAATCTACTTCTCTCAAGATACAGCAAAAGGGGATAAAATGAAAGGAAAAAGTGTCAGAATGATCCTCGGTGAAAATGCAAGATTGAGAATCATAATTTAAATTTAAATAGAAAATTTCTGAGTAAATAGTATTAACTTTTCTCTTGGTTAAAATATAATTTTCTTTATCCTAAAGGAGAAATTTCTGTTAGTCTAACACTGAATACCTGTTGTTCTCCATGCTGTTGATCATGATCGCATGTGTGTGACACCACAGCAAACTGTAGAATGAACACACAGTATCCAAGCAGGGGAAAGAAAAAAGCAGGGGAAAGAAAAGAATTGAATATCCTGTTTGTGTGGTGAAATATTGTTCCTCATCAGTTCCTAGACTTCAAACTTAAGCCCATTCCTGTAGAGGAATATATTCTAAAATACCAGAATTGAACATTAGTTTAAAATAGTTTTCTGGAAATGGGAAACATTTGAGGAAAGTGTGTGTCATGTACATCATCTGTGTGGGAGGGCTTGAAATCAAACTTGTATCACTGTACATGTTTTCTAACTATGTATTGCTTTTAACAGCGAAAGCTACAGTGACCTCAGTGATGACAGCTCTCCAGAGAAAGAGTTTCCTAAATCAGAAACAAGCTAAAATGGTTGTATGAGAACACAGAAATGGATGATGCTATTGAGGTAAAATGAATTGTTTTGATACTGCTTTATGACGTTTACTTGTTCCTTACTTGCAACAGGAGACAAAGTTACCTTGATTCTCCCTTTTGTTTCAAATCCCATCAGAGAACAAATAAGAAATTGTTTCTCTGTTTCAATGTTTTCTTCCTTGCCTGCAGCACTTAATTGTTCTCCTTCTCTTCTGCTTAACTCTGCAATTGCATTATTAAAGTCTGCTAATTGTTTTGAGTACAGCTTATAGGTAAGATGCTGTACATAATCGAGTTGTGAGTTGTGTTAGTGTTTGATAATACAATGAAAGTACACTCAGAAATTCTTTTTTTTGTTACTTCAGTTTGCAGGTATGGACCATTTTGAGTACACTGTGTTAACATGACTTTTTATTTTGTCTTAACATTCATCTGTGATTTTGTTTGTTGCCTTGTTATGTAACAAAACATATCCCAAGATAAATAGTTGGATTTAATCTGTGTAGTGATAGATACACGAAAGTTTTATGAAATTGTAGTATTGTTTGCTGTACTGATGTTTATTGTAGGTCTGGTTGTTTCTTTCACTTGCAAAGATGGTAGCCATAAAGTCCTTTTCAATTTGGAGATCAGATTTTCTGTGAGCCACCTGACCAACACAGAATCTGGGTGTAAATCTTAATTTTCTTGATACATTAACCTGAGTTGTGGCTGGTGTGGTACTCTCATCCATGTACACTAACATTTTTCAGTATTTCAGAGCACTTCTGTAAGCAGAATACAACTTTGCCTCCTGTGATTTTTATTCCACTCATGTGGTTCATTTACTAAGCAGCTGTGCTTAATAACTAAACAAGTGATTAAGGCTGCATATGAATGATGCATTTCCATGACCGATAAAATACTGGTGTGAGGTGCTTGAAATTGCATGATTTTTTTTGTGACTTTTATTTTATTCTTCCCTCTCAGATTCTATCACGTGTTAAAAATACATAATACATCTTATGTTATGACGGGAGAACAGAAAGTTTAGTGATTCCATGATCTGATCCATACAGATACCATACTGACGTGTGTCTTAGAATGACCAAAAAATAAGTGTGCATAATGTTCCTTTTCACTCTTGCCCACATCCTCCCTACCTCCAAACATCGTCATTTCTTTAGATTGTATAATACAGGATAGACCCTTTAGCTTTGATGTTGCTTTTCTCAGTAGAACTTATAAGTGATAATTCTGTTTTCCACTGCACTTGTGACATTCTCAGTGCTTGCATGAATGTTCTTATATGATGCTTTAAAGTAGTCAAGCGCATTTTCTCTGAACATGTCACTAGTGGCTACCAAGTATATTCAACATAATTAGGCTAAAAAGAAATAACTAATCCAGATATAAAGAAAGGATAGAAGCATTGGCTCACTTTGGTTTTTTTTTTTTTCCATGGGAATGATTCTCCACATTAATCAGAGCTGGATATGCATGTAGATCATATTTAGTTGGTTTTTTTAAAAAATTTATTTATTGTTTGACCTGGGTGAAATTCATCTACCTATAGTACTTATCATAAAACTGCTTTGGACTTGAGAGAAACTAACAATCATGAGTTAACCTGAGTTAAAGAAGAAGAAGAAGTTAAAGAAAAAATGCTCTTTATCATTATTTTTTCCTTTCATTCTTCCTTCACTTCTCTTTTTATGTTACAGAAAGTTGGAAACAAGTCAATATTGAACACAAGAAAGTGAAGAAAGTGGAAGAGTAAGCTGTTTGAGGTCCTTGTAGTATCTCCTCCTGCACTGTTTTCAATAATTCTCTTTAGCAAAACCTGTTCTGTATAAATGATATTTTGCTTTAAAAAATGATATAAATTGTTGTGCACTCAGCTATTAATCATTTTTCATCTTCTCCTATATTTCAGAGTGATCTCAGGCGAATATGTGTTAGTTCACTAGTTCACAGTTACTTTTGCTTTAAGGGAAGATTTGAATTTTTCCACCTTAGGACAGTAAGAAAAAATACATTCATTCTTCTGTACGAGGTAGAAATGCATAAAATACTTACGGGGAAGTTGTTCTTTACTGTTCATAGATAAAACAGATTCAGATTTGCTTCTCTGTTAAGCTTGTTGTGTGTGTATATATAAAGTTTACTTTTTTGCTGCTCAGTATGTACAAATAAGAAATTGTTTCTCTGTTTCAGCTCTGTGATTGTAATAATTGATGTTGGGTATAAATATCACTTCACTTTATAAGTGATTCCTTTTGACCACAGTTCGAGTTTGTCTTCTCTGTTTTCCCTGAAAAATGTTATACCAAACATAATTCTGACCTACCAAGTTACAGAAGTGATAGTAGAAGGTGCTTTTGTATTTAAATTCTATAATAGAGAAAGGAAATATGCTCATATTTTAAAATGCAAGCTGTGCACTTGCATGAAGGTTGTAGAAGAACCAGTCAGATACCTGGAGTGTAATCTGGGATCCAGCTGCATAATACTAATTTAAGTTCAGTACTGAATGTAATGATGAATTAAAGTTTACCCTTGTTTTCTTGCATCCATTGATCCCTCCATTGTCACGGGGCTCATTCCCCAGTAGAACAAAACTGTGTTTTCATTTAGAAATTGCAAGTTTACACCATTGTGTGATAAGTATAGGCTGCCCTTGCAAAGCCAGCACAGCAGCCAGAATCACTGAGACAATGACATACGCTGTACTTTGTATCAGCTTGGATCCCATGAGCTGAATGGCAACAGTGGAGCTGTCACAGAGGTTGGACCTGTAACTGGTGGGCCCAAATGCCTGGAATGCCCCTTTCTTACAAAGAAAATTTTTAATTGTTAGCTTTATGTTTCACTTTGGTTTTGGTGAAGTGGTGTTTTTAAGTGATCAGAAGGTTAGTACAAGGTTTAGCAGCATTAGTTATTGGAACCATTTGTTGGAAATATGAAGGTTGGGGGTAGGGTTGGCTGCAGTAACTGTGAGATGAGTGAAGTCCAGCATCCTGTGTGGAGGAAGCAGGGCAATAAGTAGGATTGCAAACCTGGACTTCAGGTGAGACAAACCTTCCTGTGCTTGGGGGAATCCTGTGGGCTTAGAGCCCTAGAAGGTAGGTGTTCCAAGACATATGGTTAATATTCAGGCTTCACTTTCTCTATGCTTCAGATCGGTGCACCTCTGTGAGTAAGAACTCAAATGAAGTGGGCAGAAGACTTGCATGGATGAGCAAGAAGCTCCAGGGTAAACTCAGAGTAAAGAAGTATGTGGGGGAAAAAGGGACAGGCCACTTTGTACATTGTTAGAGTATGCAGGAATGTGATGGGAAAGACTAAGGCCCACTTAATTAAATCTGGCAAGGGGAGTCAGGAGCAGTGAGGGCTACTGCTACATCAGTAGCAAAAGGAAGATTAGGGAAAAATGTGGACCCACTCATAAATGGGATGGGTGCCCTAGTGATGAAGAGTACAGGGAAGGTAGAATTACTGAATGGTTTCTTTGCTTCAGTCTTTACTGCTAAGGCCAGCAGCCCACAGGAATCTCATACTCTGGAGACAAAAGATAAAGTTTGGAGAGAGTTTCCTGTTGTTATTGATCATTTAAGCAAACATGATGTGTATCCATGTACCCCAATAGGATGCAGCTACGAGTGCTGAGTATGCTGGCAGATAGTATTGCTAGGCTACTCCATCATTTTTGCAAGATCAGGGATGGCCAGCATCATTTGAGTCTTCAAAAAGGGCAAGAAGTACCCAGGAAACTACAGGCCAGTCAGTTTCACCTCTGTCCCTGGGAAGCTGATGGAACAACTGATTCTGGATGTCATCCTTAAGCATGTGGAAGAAAAGAGATCAGGAAGAACTGGCCTTGTAGATGGGGAGAGAGTACTGGCTGAAGTCAAAGTGAACAACAAGATTTTCAGCAGTGTCTCCCATAACATCCTCATAGGTAAGCTCAGGGAGTGGATGTTAAATGAGTAATAACCGTATGTATTAGTACAGTTGGGGTCTGACATGCTGGGAAAGCAGTTCTGTGGACCAGGGAATCCTGGTGGAAAACAAGTTAATCATGAGCCAGCATGTGTCCTTTTGTCCAAAAAGACATTCAGATTGCTGGACAAGAGCATTGCTAGCAGGTTGAGGAACGTTATACTCTGCCTCCACTCAGCCCTGGTGAGGCTGTGTCTGGTTCTGAGTTTCCTGGAGGGAGTCCAGCAATGTGGTTCAAAGATGATTAAGGAACTGGAGCATCAAGGGAGCTGAGCCTTTTTAGCCTGGAGGGAGACTGAGAGGGGATCTCATCAAAGTACACAAATATCTTATGTGGAGGGTGTCATGAGGATGGGACTATACTCTTCAATAACAGCCAGCAGCAATATGAGAGGGAATGGGCACAAACACACTAAGTTCCATTAGAATATGAGGAAAAACTTATTTACTGTGAAGGTGATGGAGCACTGGAACAAGTCACCCGAGAGGCTGTGGAATTATCCTTTCTGGAGGTCTTCAAAACTTGCCTGGACATGGTCCGGTGCAATGTGTTCTAGGTGACCCTTCTTGGAGGCATGGGAGAGGTTGGACCAGATGATCTCCAGAAGTCTCTTACAACTTAAGCCATTCAGAGCGTCTGTGTAAATATCTGTACAAAAATAAAAGGTACCATATCCCTTTTACAGCTTTGTAAAACTGTGAGTTTGAGAACTTTGCATTGCTTTAGGAAATCTCAAGTTGCACAACTAATTTCTCTCTTCACTAAATAACTTTTAATGGTAAAGAAGTAAAAAATATGTTCCCTTGGTTGAGATCGTTTTAAAGTTTTAAAGTGATCTGCAAATATGTGCCTTAGAAATAGAAGATATTGATGGAATTGGTATCACTGTATGTCTTCCCCTATAAGAGATACTGGCTCTTGGTTTTTGAAACCAGAATTTTCTTATTCTATCTGTAATGTTGAAATGCATTTTCAAATATATTTGTGTTATTCAGAAGTGTTAAGATGTTGTTTTAAAGAATCACTATGAGCTGTGGTGTCGGGAGTTTTTCACTTTGTCATTTCTAGTTGAATTTTCTACGTCTGTGGTCATATCTGTCTGGTTCATGTGGTCCTAGTTCATCAAGATGAAATATTAGGAGTTAAATGTCTTAGGAAACTATTGAAATTGGTTTTGTGTAGCTGCATTACGGAGAAGTTGTGATTTATCCCAAAAAGTTGAGGGGGAAACAGTGTGGAGTAAAGCTGGAAACAGCTCCTTAAATATCCAGTACCTTTGTCAATCCTCTTCCTACTACACAAAAAAACTAAATTCTAGAGGTACACACATCCCTATCACGAAAAATCTATCTCCTACTTGAACTGACAAGAGGCAGCGGTGTGCCATTTCTAAACTGAAGGCATACAGGTTTTTATTTGTATGTGAACCATAGAATTTGGATTTTAAGGAATAAAAATGGAATAAAGCAGTTTGCTTTGGATTTATCATTCCAAAATGGAGAATGTAATTAAAGATGTATAGGAAAAAAAGAGTTTTACTCTGAGGGGCCTGATCTGCTTCTGTGCTTTCTGTGACCTTGTCTTGATCTGTTCTTCATCTGTGGGAAGCATGAATTGTTGAGCAGAGGACCTAACGTACAAAAGTTGAGTTTAAGTACTACTGGTTAAAAAGATATACTTGGAGCACAGCAGACTCTGAAATCAGTATTTTTTCATTCTCTGTTGAGTTACTGTTTGGCTGTTGCTTAGGCTTACGGGCTGTACTTGTATCAATAATTTAGGACATCAGCAGTAGTCTGACAATAGCAGGTGATGGAGCACTAGCACAGGCTGCCCAGACAGGTTGTGTAGTCTCTTTCTCTGAAGATATTAAAAATCTTTCTGAGCATGATCCTGAGCGACCTGTTCTATGTGTCCCTGCTTACCTGGACTTGAGCAAGGCCTTTGACATGGTCCCCCACCACATCCTTATCTCCAAATTGGAGGGATGTGGATTTGATGAGTGGACCACTCAGTGGATAAGAAACTGGTTGAAAGGCCGCAGACAGAGGGTGGTCATCAATGGCTCTATGTCCAGGTGGAGGCTGGTATCGAGTGGCGTCCCCAAGGGTCTGTCTTGGGTCTGGTGCTCTTTAACATCTTTATCAATGATGTCGATGAAGGAATCCAGTGCACCCTCAGCAAGTTTGCTGATGACACCAAGCTGAGTGGTGCAGTTGACACAATGGAAGAAAGGGATGCCATTCAGAGGGACCTCAAGAGGCTGTAAAGGTGGGCCTGGGTGAACCTGATGAGGTTCAAAATGGCAAAGTGCAGAGTTTTGCACTTGGGCTGCAGGAATCCAGGCATCCATGCAGACTGGAAGGAGCCTTGAGAGCAGCCCTGTGGAGAAGGACCTAGGGGTCTTGATAGATGAAAAACTTCACGTGAGCCAGCAGTGTGCCCTTGCGGCTCAGAAGGCAAATGGTGTCCTGGTGTCCATCAGAAGAGGGGTGGCCAGAAGGGACAGGGAGGTGATTGTCCCTCTCTACTCTGCTCTTGTGAGGCCCCATCTGGAGTACTGTGTCCAAGTGTGGAGCCCCCAGTCCAAGAAAGACAGAGAGCTGTTGGAGAGGGTCCAGAGGAGAGCCACAAAGATGACCAGGGGACTGGAGCACTTCCCCTATGAAGACAGGCTGAGGGAGCTGGGCTTGTTCAGCCTGGAGAAAAGAAGGCAGCGGGGTGACATCATTGCAGCCTTTCAGTACCTAAAGGGAGCCTATAAACAGGAGGGGAATCAACTCTTTGAAAGGGTAGATAACAGCAGGATGAGGGGAAATGGTTTTAAGTTGAAGGAGGGAAGATTTAGGTTGAATATCAGGGGGTAGTTCTTTACAGAGGGAGTGGTGAGGTGCTGGAACAGGCTGCCCAGAGAGGTTGTGGATGCCCCATCCCTGGAGGTGCTCAAGGCCAGACTGGATGGGGTCCTGGGCAGCCTGGTCTAGTGTTGAATGTGGAGGTTGTTGGCCCTGCATGTAGCAGGGGGGTTGGAGATTCATGATCCTTGAGGTCCCTTCCAAGCCTGGCCATTCTGTGATTGCACAGTGGGTTGAACCAAATGGCTTTCAGAAGTCCCTTCCAATCTCAGCCAACTTGTGATTTTATGAGAGACTCTAGCTACCTCTTAACCTCCTTACTGACAGTTTCTTAACAATAATAATAATAATATGGAAGGCTTTGACCAAAGTAGATCCTTGGAAATAAGTGTTTTGTGAAATTGGAAATTCCTTGTAAATAAGAATTGTTTTTTGTTGTTTTTGCAGTCAGGTGCAGCTGAGCTGAATTAAGTTTCTCACTTTATTTGTCAACTACCTGCAGAGGCTGATGGAGAGGTACAGATCTTAGTTTTCCTATGACATTGTGGAACAGTTATTTGACCAATCAGACTATTTCTCCTGAGGGAATATTTGCAGAGATGTGGTCCAGTTTCTGCATTAGCCTGCTGTTTGTCTGAAGCCTCATAAAGCGTACGGTACTCCTATTACACAAGTATGACTTCGTTGATTACAGTGTGGTACCAAAGAGGGCTTCCTGTCTATCACCTGGCATTCAACTTGGGTTGATTCTCCTAAATTCTTCTGCAGGCACCTGAGCCCTGCTGTCTCAGGAAAACAGTGGGCAGCTTGAAAGTAGGGGGTGCTTTCTGTGCAAGAACATGTACAAGCAGGAATCACAGCCCCAAGCCGAAAGAACTTTCTCAGAAGAGGCAGATAGGCTTCCTAGAAAGGTGTGGAGGAGGTATGGAGGAGGTCCTTATGAGGAGCGGCTGAGGGAGCTGGGATTGTTTAGTCTGGAGAAGAGGAGGCTCAGGGGAGACCTCATTGCACTCTACAACCTCCTGAAGGGAGGCTGTGGTGAAGAGGGATTTGGCCTCTTCTCCCAGGCAACGAGCAGGACACGGGGCAATGGCCGCAAGTTGTATCAGAGTAGGTTCAGGTTGGACATAAGGAAGAACTTCTTCTCTCAGAGAGTAGTCAGGCACTGGAATGGCTGCCCAGGGAGGTGGTGGAGTCACCGTCCCTGGCAGTGTTCAAGAGGCGTCTGGATGACGTGCTGCGTGATGTGGTTTAGAGCTTGTGGTGGCAATGGTGATGAGGAGACGGTTGGACCGGATGATCTTATAGGTCGTTTCCAACCTTGTGATTCTTGTGATTCTTGTGATTCTTGTGATTCTTGTGATTCT